TGACACTGTCCAAGAAGCTTGGTGGGTTGGGTTTTCAAGATGTTCAGTTGTTTAATACAGCTATGATTGCCAAACAACTTTGGAAGCTAGTGACGCCAAACAGGTTAGTCAGTAAGGTGCTCAAGTCCAAGTATTTTCCGAACACTTCATTGTTTGAAGCACAGAAGAAATAGAATGCATCACGGTTGTGGAGCACTTGGCTGTCAATTATGAAGGTGTGTGGGAACTGGATGAGGGTTGAGGTTAAGAATGGTCACAGTGCTAGAGTATGGAAGAAGCACTGGATACCTTACTTTATAGGCAAAGAAGTGGAGTTACTTCCTGGCACTGATAAAGGCATTGTATGGGTCAGGGACTTGATGACTAGTGATGGTAGAGACTCGGATGAAGCTAAAGTCAGAGCAACTTTTACTCCTGAGTTTTGCAAATCAGTGTTGAGCATTCAGTCCAATGATCCTGACAGAGCAGGTAGTTGGGTGTGGTCCTTGCACAAGAAAGGGTTGTTTTCTGTTCAGTCAACATACACTAAGCTCATTACTAATAAATTTCTGCAACAGGTTCCAGTTCAAGGTAGCAAGGATTTGCTAACAGACATGAAAGTGAGAGCTAGAACCTGGAGTCTTAATGTCATGGGGAAAGTTAAACACTTCATCTGGAAGTGATGCAATGAATCTTTGCCTATTAATCTGAAACTGATTGAGAAAGAAGTTGGAGTTGATCCTATTTGTAGGCTGTGTGAAGAAGAAGGAGAATCTATTTTTCATGTATTATTTCATTGCGGGTATGCTACTTCAGTCTGGAAGATGGCTCCTGTTAGTGGGTTGGGCCTCAAGGTGCAGAATGTTTTAAGTCTTGGTAGTGGCAGATTAATCAGTTGGATAAAGGAGAGGTTTTTGAGGCCAAGATCCAAATGTCTACATATATACTTTGGTGGCTATAGAAATCTCGCAATCTGTGGGTATTTGAGTATATCAAGAGACATGCACCAACTGTCATTGAGCAACTACCTTGGATTGGGAGGCACTCTTGCAAGACAAGAGGTGTTAGGTAAATTCTGTACTGTGTATTCTTGGGGATGTTTTTGGAGTTTCTTGAATTGTATCTTTCCTTTTTATCTTTCTTTTCTAGTTTCAGGGTAGTGGAGTTCGTTGTTTTTTTCAATTTTGTCTTTGTTTTTTCTTTTCTGCTCTGTGATCTCTAGGATGTGGAGTTGTAGTTTTTGTGGCTTAGGGGTAAAGGTTCAATTGAGGGTAACTACTTTATCCCTACTTGGTGTTAGTGTTAGGTTGTTGTTAATTTGTGTGTTCTAGCTCACCTCGTGTGATGCTCTCAGTTTCGGCTCCCATTGTGTACTAAACTTTATTGTCTCTTAATCAATAGTTATTTTGCTGTTTGGAAAAAAAATATAAAAGTCAACTTAAAACAAAAAATGTAAATAACAAAAATTATTATCCGTGAAATATCAAAGCCACCTCAAGTTTAATAAGAGGCGTTGGCCACCCTGTCCTCTATTTGTGACGTCCTTTTCTCCATCTTAATTCACCATCTTCCCATTTAGGTAGGCCCTCAAAATAATTAATTTGTATATCTAATTTCTATTCTATTAATTCACTCTTTTCCCTGTTTTATCTCCATTTTCTTCTTATTATTCTACACCTATATACTAGCTTCCTCTATTCAGCATACTTTTTTTTTTACCTTCAATTATTTATTGTCTCTTATTACAGCCCTAACCCTACTCACTCACCCCCACAAACAAAAATAAAAAATTAATAAGACAAGTTGCACTTCCAATTGCCACAAGACTACTAGTGTCTATAACTCAAATTGATGTTCATATCCATAAAAACAAGGATATAAACATCAATAATTTCACAGTTTTGTTCCTCTATTTTCTATATTTCTTTTTTATGGCAATTGCAGGAACAATGAATAACAACAACAACAGTAACAACAACAGCAACATTAACGTGAAGCAAGACGAACATGAAAACGACATGGTGATGCCGGGCTTCCGATTCCACCCAACCGAGGAAGAACTGATAGAGTTCTACCTAAGACGTAAGGTCGAGGGCAAGCGATTTAGCATCGACCTCATCACTTTTCTCGACCTCTATCGTTATGACCCATGGGAACTTCCCGGTATATATTTATAATATTTCAGTTTTTACCAACAAGTACAAGTATGATTATCATATCATATATATGATTTGGAATTGTTGTTAGCATTGGCGGCCATAGGAGAGAAGGAGTGGTACTTTTACGTGCCGAGGGATAAAAAGTATAGGAACGGGGATCGGCCCAATCGGGTGACGACATCTGGATATTGGAAGGCGACGGGTGCGGATAGGATGATCAAGAGCGAGAACTTGAGGTCCATCGGCCTCAAGAAAACCCTCGTTTTCTACTCAGGAAAGGCTCCTAAAGGAATACGAACGAGCTGGATCATGAACGAGTACCGATTGCCACACCATGACACCCAGCGTCTCAACAAGGTAACTAAACTTAACAATCTCTGCCTTGACATAAATCTGAATACTAAATTAATTCACACTCAAATTATATGAATTTATATATAGCATTATTATATGAATTATGAACCAGAACTCAAATTATTTTTATTTTTATTTTGTTTTTCTTATATTTTCTGATTGGGTTTCGCTGAAATCAAGAAAAGACAAAACTGACACAATATAAATGTTGATGATGAGTACTGTTGGCCACACTTTAAAATGAATGTAATGTAATGTAATAAGTTTCTTTGATGTTCTCCCGAGAAACGCATGACTTGCATTTAACATTGCTTCACACCCATTATTAAATTAAATACACTGAAAAATCCTCATAATTTTGGACCCCAATAATTATAATGTATGTATTCATTCATACAAATTCTTAATTTTTGTATATACTTTTCAGGCAGAAATTTCTCTATGTCGAGTCCACAAGAGGGCCGGAGTGGAAGACCACCGGTCCCTCCCGCGCCCCCTACCGACAAACGCCACCTCATCATCCTCATCGAACCACGTTTTCCAATACAGTCACATGCAAAGAACCCTCAACCGAAGACCAAACGAAACGAGCCCGAGCAGCAGCACGGGCGAAATCGGCACATCTCTCAACGGAAACTACTCAATTAGTCACCCATCAATCCTCACAATCCCAAACTCCTCAACTCAAGATTGCAAAAACAACGTTAATGCAACAAATAAAAGCTTATCCCCGTATTGCCCCTCAATTTTCCCTAGTCCGTCCTCGACCGACGAGCTCCATAAGCTCGTTAGCAACTATAATTCACGGCAGGCCGCTGAGAACTATGTGCCGAATCTTGTCTCTCACCTCCCGGCGGGGACTCTTCAGGCGGCAGTGCCGCAAAGATTGTGGGATTGGGCCGATGCCAACAAGGACGACGCGGAATTTTTCAAGTAATTAATAACCTTTTTGCATTTTTTGTTAGTTTTGAATTAATTCATTAATGTAACACTAATAATATTGAAATTTGGCCTTTATATTTAAAGGAGAATAATAATAATGTCATGATTGAATAAAACCACAAAAAATCATATAGAGTTGAGACAAAGGTACCATTACAAGAGTTGGTTAAAAAAGAAGAAAGATTTTGTTGTTTTGGACCCCCTTTTATGTCTCACTTGTCCAGGACAAAGTTAATAAACAATGTTTTCTTATATAAATTGCTACACTATGGCATCCCAAAATATCATGTTTTTATTTATTTATTTATTTTTTGTATTCAAAACTGAATGTTCATTTTGTCTTGGATTATAATTTAGTTAGTTGTTTATGATTATTTTTAAATGAATTTTATTGTGGGATGAGCTTTGTAAAAAATAAAAAAATAAACTCCGTCGAGTTTATCTCATACTAGTGTGGATTTTATGTAGGAAAGCGTACGAATGAG